GCTGAACCATCCCTAGCATTTGGAGAGCCGTGGTGAGTACATGGACATGGTGGATGGGAGGTGAGGGGGTTGCTGGGTGGCTTTGTAGCTCCCCTTTGCCGCAATAAAGCTGTCTCACTCTAAAGGAACAGCCTAAAAAAGCCTCAGAATGGGGAAGACATTCGATGTGGTACAGTGCAGGCTCAGGAACACTTCGGACTTTTGCCTCTTTTCTATCAGATGATTTTGAAGGTGTTACTGAGGGGGCTTTCCCTGCAGGCCCCAGGGTGGGGAGATGCAGGTCTTAGGTGGGATGTGATTTTTATGCAGATTTGTCCAAAACTCAGAGGGTTGAATGAAATATCTGGAAGAGGGGATTTAGGAAGAAATCTCCTCTAGGTCACAGTGGAAAGCTCAGACTTTGATAAAGTAACTCCAAGGAGACATCTGCAAAACCCAGGCACACGCTCATCTCCCGAGAAACAGTCTCAACCCGTCTGTGAATTTGGGCTGGAGAATATAAATGTGTGGTTCCCAAATAGTCTCCCAGGCTGTTGTTGTCTGGCCCCCAGTTTGGGGACAGCCAGGAACCCAACTGCCTGGGAGCTGGACAGAGAAAGGGAAGGAAGAGGAGTATCTCGGAGAGGCTGCTTGGACAGCCATTCCCTGGGTGACAGAGCCCACCTGAGGTCACTCCCGTGCCACCAAAGTGTCACCTTGCCCCAGTGAACTCTGCTGTTGTCTTCAGGCAGCTCCATGACACACCCGGCCGTTGTGCAACGGCCGTGAAATTAAACTAAAAATAGCTCCTTCTCCTTGCAGGAAAACACCTGGCTGCCTTGCACGGGGCCGGGAGCGTGTCCCTTGGCAGGCGAGGAGCACACCAAGGGCTCCCTCCTCCGAGCTGCTGTGGGCACTGAGGAAAGACCTCATCCTCCTCCTCTGCCCTCCTGCCCCGAGCCCTGCCTTGCCTCTGTTCGTCCCTCGCTCAACTCCATCACCAGGCAGTGTGGTTTTCCTCTGAGCCTCACCAAGGTGCAATGGCATCACTCCCTGAGCCTCATGTGGGGACTGATGCCACCATCTCTCCTACCTTTGTGGAGGAAGTGGGGATCAACACCAGGGGTTCACTGAGGAGCAAGTTTGTGTTATCTGTCCTTCAGTTAATCAGACTTAATTAAAACACTGGCAGTGCTTGGCTGGCCAAGTTGTTCATGCCCTGGCTCTGCTGGTATCCCCACATCTGGGCACAGCACTGTGCTCCCATGCAAACTGGACACAGTTCAGCTCTTTTGGGGGTTTGTTCCCCACTAAGGAGAACACTTGGCTCCTTTTAGGTATGGGTTGGTGGGCCAAGGCCAGAGCAGTCATGAATGCTGGGGTTGATCCCCTGATCTTTCAGATTCCCTTGCAGTCAGAGCACCTGAAGCAATTGGCAGACAACAGCAGTCCTGCGTGATCCTCGGACTGTCATGGAGCTCAGGCTGAGCCATTCTTCCTCTGTAGTAGGCGGGCTCCGTTAGCATCAGGCCAGTGATCGCTTCAAGGCGCCGGTCCCTCTGCACCCAGGTCAGACCTCAGGCATTGCCACTGTCTGTTCCTGTAGAACTCAGCAAAAGCTGAAATCCTCCTTTCCCCATTGCAAATATCCAAATGATGCTCAGAAATCATAGCATTATCTAGAGTCAAAGAACAGCACCTGGTTGCAGGAGAAGCAGCGTGAGAAAGGAGAGCAGCCAGGCCCGGCTGCAGCTCCTGTCTGCAGAGCCCTGGGCAAAGCGCTGCTGGCAGGAGGCTGGGACGTCAAGGAAAAGTGCCGGGCTCCAGGAGAGCCTCCAAATTCTGTGGCCTTTGCTGATCAGCGCTGTCACACACAATGGAGGAATGGCTCCAGCGCAGGAGAGCTGAAGGACTTGCACTTCGTTGGGCCAAATGATTTTGGAGCAGAGACTTCTCCTGTCCCACCCTGGAGGGACATGGGGCTGCAGGAGTCTCCACCAGCCCAACTGGGGTGGCCAAGCACCAAGGGCCAGCTGAGCACGGTGTGATTTTGAGCAGAACAGGAGCATCCCACCGCTGAAACCTATGTCAGCAAATGTCTTGCTAGCTGTGGTCACACACTCACCTGGAAGGGGCAGCCTCTGAGCTCTGGGACTCAGTTTCCCTGCGCTGGCTCCAGTGGCATCGCTTCTTCCAGCTCCCAATGACACAGCAAGAGGCCCACATCCCCCTCAGTGCTCTGGGATGCCAGCCCAGAGGCCCTTCTGGCTCGGAGAAGAGCAGGCACGGTGCCAGATGGAGACGTCAGTGGGGTCCGAGCTAGGGGGAAGCTGGTGTTTGCTCTCTGCAACGGGGTGAGGCATCCCTGCCCCTGCCTCTGCCCCATGGAGTAGAGAGTCAGACTCCTTGAGCTCCCCAGGTCTGGCGTAGCCCTGCGGCTTCAAGCCTGGCATGCGTTCCCATGGGCTGCCTACATGCCATAGGGCATGTCCCCAGAGGGGACCCAGGTCCCTCCAGTCCCACAATCATGGGGAAGAGGTGACAGCACAGGGAGAGATAACGGATAGGGGAATAAGAGACTAGGACAGAGGAGAGGTGGTGGGTATGGGAAGAGGCGGTGGAAATGGGGAAGGATGATGAGTGTGAGGGAGAGATGATGGGTATGGGGAGAAGTCATAGGTACAGAGGATCAGGGACCTCAGTTCTTGTCAAACCCCTGTCCCAGTCAGTAGGAAAAGCAGCAACAAACCTTGAGACAACTGGGCCAGCAGATTTGACACCCCAATGTGGCAAGGAGCATCGCCTGAGGCCAGCCAGTCCCTCCTCTCCCTCTCCTATCGAGTGCAGCCCCATCACACCCCTCCAGCCCCAGGGAGGTGGTCTGGCCATTCCAGGGCATCCTGAGTCCGGGCTAAACGAGCAGGGGACGTGCCCAGTGCAGGACCTTGGGCATCCTTAGTGCCATCTGCTCAGGGGCAGGGGGTGGGAGATCTCAAGTCAGAAGAGCTGAGCTCAGCAGCCCATCCCCAGTGCTAAGACGTAGGCATCCTTCATATATGGTTTGTTCTGGCCCGATGCTGGGGAGATGTTGGGGGGATGTTGGGGGATGCTGGGGAGATGTTGGGGGTTGTTGGGGGATACTGGGCGATGCCGAGCTGCCCAGTCTGGGCGCTGGAGCATCTCTGCAGAGTTTAGCAGCCGCCCTGGGAGCGGGTGGGTGACCAGCAGAGGGCCTGGCTCTGCCGTTCCC